TAATGTGTGTTGTGTAATGTGTGTTGTTTAATGTGTGTTGTGTAATGTGTGTTGTGTAAAGTGTGTTGTGTAATGTATGTTGTGTAATGTGTGTTGTGTAATGTGTGTTGTGTGTGTAGTGTGTGTTGTTTATGTAGTGTGTGTTTATGTAATGTGTGTTGTGAGTGTAATGTGTGTTGTTTGTGTAATGTGTTGTGTAATGTGTGTTGTGTAATGTGTGTTGTGTGTGTAATGTGTGTTGTTTATGTAGTGTGTGTTTATGTAATGTGTGTTGTGTGTGTAATGTGTGTTGTTTGTGTAATGTGTGTTGTTTGTGTAATGTGTGTTGTTTATGTAATGTGTGTTGTGTGTGTAATGTGTGTTGTTTGTGTAATGTGTGTTGTGTAATGTGTGTTGTGTGTGTAATGTGTGTTGTTTGTGTAATGTGTGTTGTGTAATGTGTGTTGTTTATGTGATGTGTTGTGTGTGTAATGTGTGTTGTTTGTGTAATGTGTGTTGTGTAATGTGTGTTGTGTAGTGTGTGTTGTTTATGTAGTGTGTGTTTATGTAATGTGTGTTGTGTGTGTGATGTGTGTTGTTTGTGTAATGTGTTATGTAATGTGTGTTGTGTAATGTGTGTTGTGTGTGCAATGTGTGTTGTTTATGTAGTGTGTGTTTATGTAATGTGTGTTGTGTGTGTAATGTGTGCTGTTTGTGTAATGTGTGTTGTTTGTGTAATGTGTGTTGTTTATGTAATGTGTGTGTAATGTGTGTTGTTTGTGTAATGTGTGTTGTGTAATGTGTGTGTAATGTGTGTTGTGTGTGTAATGTGTGTTGTTTGTGTAATGTGTGTTGTGTAATGTGTGTTGTTTATGTAATGTGTGTTGTGTGTGTAATGTGTGTTGTTTATGTAATGTGTGTTGTGTAATGTGTTATGTGTAATGTGTGTTTTGTAGTGTGTGTTGTTAATGTAGCTGCTCAGTCAGAGGAGGAGTTGGAGACGCTGCTGCTGAGACTGGAGCGTGCCACTAAGAGGTGGGGCCTTACCATCAGCCCCACCAAAACTAAGCACCTGCCTGGGTATTTTGTACCATCGGACACTCCACCCCCAAAACTCCCAATCGGTGATGGGGCAGTTGTGGAGAGAGTGGAGAGTTTCCCATACCCGGGCAGTGTGCTTATGACTGGCTCCAGTTTAACAGCAGAGGTCTCACTCCGAATCAGTCGAGCGGCAATATCTTTTCATCGGTTGCGTAACGCTGTGTGGAAGCTACCTGGTCTGTCGCTCCGCACTAAGCTTCAGGTCTTCTCGGCCACGGTCATTCCCTCCCTTCTCTACGCTTGCGAAACGTGGATCCCCCTAATGGAACATCTTCGCCGGTTAGAAACATTTAGGCTGGCCTGCCTACGATCCATCCTGGGTTTAACCAGACTGGATTGTGTGAGGAGCTCACAAATCCTTGAAAGATCTGGGCAGGGTCCCATCGGTGAGCTCCTCCGGCAGGCAAGGCTGCGATGGCTGGGTCATGTAGCCCGCATGCCCAGCCACCGCATGCCGAAACAGCTTTTGTTTTGCCGGATTGAGGGGGCTAAGCGGTCGCGGCACGGGCTAGAGAAGAGATGGAGTGATGTGGTACAGGAGGACGTGGAGCTGAGTGGACTTGCCGATGACTGGTACCAGCGGTGTCAAGATCGGCCTCTGTGGAGGAGGCTCGTGAAGGATGCTACTGGGCAGTTGGAGGCAGTCGCCCTCCAACAACAACGGAGGGCGGAGGAGCGACGCTCACAACAACGAGCGGAGCGCCGGGTGGCTAAAGCACAGCAGGTTGGCACAGTAGGGGGCACAGGTGGTGCATCAGCCAGTCATCTCAGTCAGTCGACCCATGGCACCTGGGTCTGCCCAGTGACCTCCTGCCAGCGGGCGTTCGACACTTCACGTGGCCTCACGGTGCACATAGCCTGGCACAAGCGTCGTGGTGACGTCACCGCCACTTAGTGGCGAATGGCGGTTGTTGTTGTGTTGTTGTTGTTAATGTAATGTGTGTTGTTTGTGTAATGTGTGTTGTTTGTGTAATGTGTGTTGTGCAATGTGTGTTGTGTAATGTGTGTTGTGTAATGTGTGTTGTGTAATGTGTGTTGTGTAGTGTGTGTTGTTAATGTAATGTGTGTTGTTAATGTAATGTGTGTTGTTAATGTAATGTGTGTTGTTTGTGTAATGTGTGTTGTGTAATGTGTGTTGTGTAGTGTGTGTTGTTAATGTAATGTGTGTTGTTAATGTAATGTGTGTTGTTTGTGTAATGTGTGTTGTGTAATGTGTGTTGTGTAGTGTGTGTTGTGTAATGTGTGTTGTTTGTGTAATGTGTGTTGTGTAATGTGTGTTGTGTAATGTGTGTTGCATAGTGTGTGTTGTTAATGTAATGTGTGTTGTTTGTGTAATGTGTGTTGTGTAATGTGTGTTGTGTAGTGTGTGTTGTTAATGTAATGTGTGTTGTTTATTTAATGTGTGTTGTTTGTGTAATGTGTGTTGTTTGTGTAATGTGTGTTGTGTAATTTGTGTTGTGTAATGTGTGCTGTGTAATGTGTGTTGTTTATGTAATGTGTGTTGTGTAATGTGTGTTGTGTAATGTGTGTTGTGTAATGTGTGTTGTGTAATGTGTGTTGTGTAATGTGTGTTGTGTAATGTGTGTTGTGTAATGTGTGTTGTGTAATGTGTGTTGTGTAATGTGTGTTGTTAATGTGTGTTGTGTGTGTAATGTGTGTTGTTTGTGTAATGTGTGTTGTGTAATGTATGTTGTGTAATGTGTGTTGTTTGTGTAATGTGTGTTGTGTAAAGTGTGTTGTGTAATGTGTGTTTTTGTGTAATGTGTGTTGTGTAATGTGTGTTGTGTAATGTGTGTTGTGTAATGTGTGTTGTGTAATGTGTGTTGTTTGTGTAATGTGTGTTGTGTAATGTGTGTTGTGTAATGTGTGTTGTGTAGTGTGTGTTGTTAATGTAATGTGTGTTGTTTGTGTAATGTGTGTTGTGTAATGTGTGTTGTGTAGTGTGTGTTGTTAATGTAATGTGTGTTGTTAATGTAATGTGTGTTGTTTGTGTAATGTGTGTTGTGTAATGTGTGTTGTGTAGTGTGTGTTGTGTAATGTGTGTTGTTTGTGTAATGTGTGTTGTGTAATGTATGTTGTGTAATGTGTGTTGCATAGTGTGTGTTGTTAATGTAATGTGTGTTGTTTGTGTAATGTGTGTTGTGTAATGTGTGTTGTGTAGTGTGTGTTGTTAATGTAATGTGTGTTGTTTATTTAATGTGTGTTGTTTGTGTAATGTGTGTTGTTTGTGTAATGTGTGTTGTGTAATTTGTGTTGTGTAATGTGTGCTGTGTAATGTGTGTTGTTTATGTAATGTGTGTTGTGTAATGTGTGTTGTGTAATGTGTGTTGTGTAATGTGTGTTGTGTAATGTGTGTTGTGTAATGTGTGTTGTGTAATGTGTGTTGTGTAATGTGTGTTGTTTATGTAATGTGTGTTGTGTAATGTGTGTTGTTAATGTGTGTTGTGTGTGTAATGTGTGTTGTTTGTGTAATGTGTGTTGTGTAATGTATGTTGTGTAATGTGTGTTGTTTGTGTAATGTGTGTTGTGTAAAGTGTGTTGTGTAATGTGTGTTTTTGTGTAATGTGTGTTGTGTAATGTGTGTTGTGTAATGTGTGTTGTGTAATGTGTGTTGTGTAATGTGTGTTGTTTGTGTAATGTGTGTTGTTTGTGTAATGTGTGTTGTGCAATGTGTGTTGTGTAATGTGTGTTGTGTAATGTGTGTTGTGTAATGTGTGTTGTGTAGTGTGTGTTGTTAATGTAATGTGTGTTGTTAATGTAATGTGTGTTGTTTGTGTAATGTGTGTTGTGTAATGTGTGTTGTGTAGTGTGTGTTGTGTAATGTGTGTTGTTTGTGTAATGTGTGTTGTGTAATGTGTGTTGTGTAATGTGTGTTGCATAGTGTGTGTTGTTAATGTAATGTGTGTTGTTTGTGTAATGTGTGTTGTGTAATGTGTGTTGTGTAGTGTGTGTTGTTAATGTAATGTGTGTTGTTTATTTAATGTGTGTTGTTTGTGTAATGTGTGTTGTTTGTGTAATGTGTGTTGTGTAATTTGTGTTGTGTAATGTGTGCTGTGTAATGTGTGCTGTGTAATGTGTGTTGTGTAATGTGTGTTGTGTAATGTGTGTTGTGTAATGTGTGTTGTGTAATGTGTGTTTTTTGTGTAATGTGTGTTGTGTAATGTGTGTTGTGTAATGTGTGTTGTGTAATGTGTGTTGTTTAATGTGTGTTGTTAATGTGTGTTGTTAATGTGTGTTGTTTGTGTAATGTGTGTTGTGTAATGTGTGTTGTGTAATGTGTGTTGTGTAATGTGTGTTGTTTGTGTAATGTGTGTTGTGTAAAGTGTGTTGTGTAATGTGTGTTGTGTAATGTGTGTTGTGTAATGTGTGTTGTGTAATGTGTGTTGTGTAATGTGTGTTGTGTAATGTGTGTTGTTTGTGTAATGTGTGTTGTGTAATGTGTGTTGTGTAATGTGTGTTGTTTATGTAATGTGTGTTGTGTGCGTTTGTCGTCGCATTATTCGTTCTGAGAGCTGGGACCGAGCCAAATTAAGTGGAAAAACCGATTGGTGACCAGACTGTCACCACCAACTCTCTGCGCTTGAGAACCAAGTGTAATTACAACTCAGTTGATGCGAGTCTATGGGTCTCTATGCGAGTCTAGGAATCTCTATGCGAGTCTATGGGTCTCTATGTGAATCTATGGATCTCTATGCGAGTCTAGGAATCTCTATGCTAGTCTATGGGTATCTATGTGAGTCTATGGGTCTCTATGCGAGTCCAGGAATCCCTATGCGAGTCTATGGGTCTCTATGTGAATCTATGGATCTCTATGCGAGTCTATGGGTCTCTATGCCAGTGTGGGTTTTTCTATGCGAGTCTGTTGGTTTCTATGCGAGTCTGTGGGTTTCAATGCGGGTATATATCGGTATCTATGTGGGTCAATGGGTCTGTATGTGAGTCTACGGTGACGGGGCAGAAACCATCAATCAACTCGCTGCACTCCGGGCTGAATCACCGGCGGCCGACGCCTGCGGTTCGAACCCCGACTCTCGGCGTCTCCGCCAACCCCGGCACGAGCGCCCCCCTCCGCCCCCACCGCCCCGCCCCCCCCCCCCCCTCAAAATGCCGACCTTCTTGATGGTGTCCTTGGAGTCCTCTTTGTGGTCCTCGCTGCTGCGCATCTCCGACAGCTTGGCGTGCTGGCGGCCCTTGTAAACCCACAGCTCCGACTTCTCCACCATGAGACGCAGCTGGTCCAGGTCGGTCTTGATCTGCTTGTAGCTCTCCACTTCCTGCGTCGTCACCAGCAGCTGCACCTGCGCGCGCGCGCGAGCGGGGGCCGCCGGTGACATTCACTCCGCCGGCACGCACACAGAGTCCACACCTCGAAGACGCGGAGCGAGATGTCGACACCGATCCAGCGATTGGATATTGCGCATCGAAGATCCCCCCTGTAGCCTTGACCAGACTGTCGGGGCAAGCGCAGTTAAGCGAGCACCTGTGAACGCCGTCACGGCGCGGGCGCGCGGACGCGCGTGCACGTACCTGCTTGAAGGCCTCGAGAACTTCGTGGCGCTGGCTGAAGTGTTTGAAGAGGAGTTGCAGGGCTCCAGACACCAGCGGGGGGTAGTCGTGCATAGTGAGGTGGAGCAGCGCACGCAGGAACAGCTTCCCCCCGTGGCCGTCCAGGTCGAGCAGAGCGTTCTCATCGCTGCTCTCACCGGCGAGCGCGGCGAGCCAGCGATGGGAGCCAGCCATGGAGCCAGCGATCGAGCGCACGCACAGACAGAGATCGCCCGCTTCGTGTTCATACGCAGTTGGGGGGGATGCTGCCGTGGTATAATAACAATGGTTAATATTTCATACATTTGGTATTTGCGCCATTCTTGCAGAGCAAGGCTGTCGCGAAGGCGCTGTGCGTTCACAGAAATAGTCTGTGCGGTAGTTTTACGGTTCTGGGGCGGTGTTGCCGTTTTTGTACAATCCCAGTTGAGTTATCCGCGGTGTAATTTTTCAAATTTGAAAACATTTGGATCGTGACGCTGGCACACAACAGCCTCCTCCTTTAGAATGACGTCAGGGGATGTTTCACGTTCACTGCGTAGTATTTATAGTTAATACACCGGCAGTAATGACCAGGGCGGCCTGCTGGATCTGAACCGTGAATCCCTACAGCGAGCGGAACTACCGTTGGGCCGCAGCACTGCCCCCCAATGCAGACAGCGTAATGGTTGAGCATCTACATCATTAGACCTCCTTTGCCAGTACCAAAATGTAATAATAGGGTTTTTCCCCTTTTTCTGGCAACAAAACTGAAACCTTTTTACAAGGATTCATGTCTGCATTAACCACAATACCTGCAGTCAAAATGCAAACAAAAAACATACTATGATAATATATGCATTGTCCTTGAAACTGATTGGTCCACACCAAGGGATGGCTTTCTTGGTGTGGACCAATCAGTTTCAAATACAAGGGACGGCTTTCTTGGTGTGGACCAATCAGTTTCAAGGACAATGCATAAATTATCATAGTATGTTTTTTGTTTGCATTTTGCCTGCAGGTATTGTGGTTAATGCAGACATGAATCCTTGTAAAAAGGTTTCAGTTTTGTTGCCAAAAAAAAGGGGAAAAACCATATTATTAGCGTAATGGTTATTACACGGCACCAAACACAATTCACGCTGTCAGATTATTGTAATGAGATGAAGAAACATTCGACGGCCGGGAAAACATCACAGCATGCCAAGGAACCTGCCTGCCAGGAGTTCACACCCAGACTCACCTCACGAAGTTCAAAGGTCACGGACGGTCAGGTCCTGAGTTTGGCACATAATAGTTAATTACCGATTTATTTGTACGGCGACTCATCAGTTCATTCATTGACGAGCGGCGAGCTTTACCTTCCGTGAAATATTGCTTCTGCCTGTTCTCCAATCCTCTTGAGGTCAAGACCTAAAAATGGTGAAAATGAAAACCATGTCAAGTTTCTAGTCCAGGGTTCCCGTTGTTGTCGAGCCAGGGGTGGAGGAGTCTCATTCGGGACCTGGGTCGCCAAAATGACAAAAGCCAAAGAGATGAAAAAGCAAGCACAGCACAGCAAGGGCAACGAACAGAAATCGGGCAAAAGCAACTGCATTAGAGAAAGAAAAAATAATCGAAAACAGTGCAGAAACACGAATCGATATTCCATAAATTAGTTTCCAGGAACAAATATTTGCGTGGACAAATAACCTTTTAACAAAAATTTGCAGTCAAATTAACTTGCAGAAACAGCAACGTATATTTAGGACTATTATTGGCACTCATTTTGTAAACAGACGAGGATACACACATATTCAAAACAACTTACAGCAAAGAACAGTACAAAATGGAACCTTTTTTGCCAGTATCAACGTATGAAAAAATAAGAATAGGCTTTACAATTTCTGGCAATGAAACAGGAGTTAAGATGTTCAAACACCAAATAGAAACATTTTGCAAGGAATCAAGTACTGCATTAACCACACATAGTACTTGTGGTGAACATGCAAACACACACGCTCTAATAATATACGCATTGTCTTTGAAACTGATTGGCCTACACCAGAGACAGCCTTCTTTAGGGCCTCGTCTCAACAGTGTCAGACCAGAGAACGCCAACAGGCGAACAGCACAAAGACAATGCCACTACTGTCTTGCTACAGTACGCCACTTTGTTTATCCCGGAAAAGCCTCACCGGAGTCCTCGCAATTCTTGGCACCGTTTAGGCCGTTCAAAAGCCGTACGAGAGACGCACACCGCACCGCGGCGGCGTCGCGAGAGGCCGCGGTGCGAGCGCCATACCGGAGGGCTCGCGGAAGGTCAGCTCGGTCATGCTCTCCTCCACCACGGGGCTGCTGTTCTCCTCGAACTGGTGCTTGAAGATGGAGAGAAGGCACGAGATGCGGTAGTCCAGGCGGACGTTGAGGATGAACTGCAATCATCGTGGGGGGGGGGGGGGGGGTTGGGCAAGGCGGTGGCAAAGAAAGACAAAGATCCCCCCGGTGCAGGCTTCAACAGGCTGTAGGGCCAAGTGCTGTCGGCGAGTAGCATCTATGAAGGCCAGCACTGCGCACGAAGGGGTGGGTGTCCAGCACCACGCCCTGCCGCCTTTGTCTCCCGAGTGACGATGTTTACACATCGTATCAGGTACTCATTTGAGACTGAGTCCACCTAGTGGGGGCCCGAGGTTCAAATGATCATCAATGGTGTTGGCGGCCGTGAGTGGGAATCAAACCACGACACTACCGCTCCCCACAGACAACAATAACAACAACAACCGCCGTCCGCCACTAAGTGGCGGTGACGTCACCGCTGCCAGGCGCACGCACGCACTTGAACAAGGCGCGACTGGGCGATCGGTCCCGCGTGCGCTCGTGTGCGGGCACCTGCAGGATCTCGATGATCTTCAGCTTGGTGTCCATCACGGTGATGTCCTCGTCCTCCCCGTTGCCGTTGCCCACCGGCTTGCGTCGCACCACGTCAACGCCGTGGCCGCCCGGCCCCGCCGCGGTCATGGTGCCGCCCCTTAGCACCATCTGCGTCATCATCTCCCCCACGCCGTGGATCGAGCGCATCACGCGGCTCGCTGGGGCGACAGCGGCGGCAGGAGACGAGAGAGGGGAAGGGCGGTGAAGTTGCCGAGGGATTAGCGGCAGCCGCCTACTGGGAGGCCGGCTGCTGCGTAAAGTCACCTCGCGCGCTGAGCGGGCAAGCTGCCGCTCGCTGGAGGTGCCCTTTAAAGCGCGTCGATGAGGTGCGACGTAAAGCGCTTCGTCGCGTGGCGAGGAGCGGGGACGGCAGGAGGGGGAGGAGGAGGAGCGGCGTCACGGGGCCTCACCGCTGGGAACGTCGCCGCCGCCGCCGCCGCCGCCGTGCTTGCCCAGGCGATCGCCGGCGAAGGCCGGGAAGGTCTCCACGCAGTCGAGGAAGGCGAGCAGCGTCTTGGTGAGACACAGGAGGTTGCTGAACGTGTAGAAGCCGAAGTAGATGAGGTTCCTGGCCAGGTTCACCACCTAGCAGGGACGGAGGAGCGACAGCAGACTTTAGAAACCCGGTTTAAATCACAACTGGGTTTGTGAGTCACACGGGTCTCTATACAAGTCTATGAGTCTCTATGTAAGTCTATGGGTCTCTATGTAAGTCTATGGGTCTCTATGCAAGTCTATGGGTTTCGGGGTCTATATGTGAGCCTATTGGTCTTGGTGGTTGTTGTTGGTGGCTGGGCTGAGTCCATCACCGCACTACGCTCGACAACCCAGGTTTAATCAGAGAGCGGCTGAAACCCAGAATTCAAGCCCATCATTCTCAACGGTGTCGGCTCAGCGTCTCTTCTCGAGCCACGCGAGGTTAGGGGCGAGGGGGGCGGAGTGGGGGCGGAGTGGGGGCGGAGTGGGGGCAGCCTCGCCTCGTAGGTCAACTTGTTCTTGTCGCCGTCGGAGAAGGGGTTGCTCTGGTCGACGACGGTGCGCAGGTAGTCCTCCACGAAGGCGATCGTCTCCTTGAAGCGAGACTGACTCTCCGCAGTCGACGTCCCGTTACACGCGTCGTAGCTGCGCACGGACACGCGTGTGGGAGCGGGCGCAGGGATGTGCGGCGCACGCATCTGGTGTCACAAACGCCAGACACAGAGCGTGGCGGTCAGCACGCCGCGCTACGAACCCGGGGACCCCCGAGTTCGATTCCCGCTCGCCACCAACGCCGGTGACGATTATCTGAATCGGACCCGGACCTCCCCGAGGTCGACTCGGCCTCAAATGTGAACGAAATGCGGCGGTGTAAACTTCGCCACTAGGGAGACGAAGGCGGCCGGGCATAGTGCTGGCCACCCACGCCCTTGTGTGCTGTGCCGGCCTTCATAGGTGCTACTTGCTAACAGCACTGGCCCCAACAGTCTTCCAAGGCTATACGAGGGACCTTTGTCTTTGTCACAAACGCAAAGATCCCCCAGGCTGGTGGGGCAAGTGCTGTTAGCGAGCGCCTATGAAGGCCGGTGTTAGCATCCGCCGTGTCAGTACATACGTGTGTGTTGCATGCACGCTGTTAGTACGTGCATGCATCGCACGTACAAACACACACACACACGCGAGCGCTAGTCTCCCCCCCGTACCTCCCCGCCGCGGACTTACTCGTTGATGGTGATGCGCGTCGGCACCTTGTACCAGAGGCGCGCGTATCGCACCGGGGTCACGGGCTCCTGGGGGTCGCGGTCCACGTGCAGGTGCAGCATGAGGCGCGAGAAGGAGGCGCGCAGGTCGTAGGGCAGCCCCTCGTCCGCCATGCAGTGCAGGATCAGCTCGACGCTCAGCTCCGAGGACAGGCGGTCGATGGCGAGGTACTGCCGGTCCAGGCACATCCTCGAGAAGAGGTTCAGCTGGTACCTGCGCGGGGGGGGGAGGGCGCGCGGAGGGTGGGGGGAGGCGAGGGGGGGAGGTGGCGGGGCGGCGGAGGGGGTGGTGGACACGTAGACGTGCGTTACACGGAGGAGCGCGACGGAGAGCGCGGCGCCAATTTAAATCGCGATTCCCCGCGAAGCGTCGGGAGTTGCGGCCGGGGGCGGACCTGTAGTAGACGAGGATCTCCTCGTCGTCGGCGTTGAAGGTGCGCGAGCTCTCGGCCAGCGCGCGCACCGACTTGCTGTGCGGCATCTTGTCCGAGTCGCGCCAGTACAGCCACACCTCGCAGTACTGGTTCGTGGCCGTCATCTGGCACAGCCTGGCGGGCGCACGCACACGGACGACGCGCGGGCGCGGGGATCGAGCGGCGTTCAACGCGGAGGGTCGTACGGCAACGGGGTTGTCGCAGATGGGCGCGCGAGTGGGTGAGGGGCGTCGAGTGGGCGAGAGGCTGAATGAGCGGGTGGGTCAGTAAGGGGGGCGGGGGAGAGGGTGGGTGAGTTGGTGGGTCACAGTGAGAAAGGAAGAGATTTATTGAGTTTGTGGGTGAGGAGGTAAGCGAGTTGGCCAGTTGGTGGGTGGGTGAGTTGGTGAGTTGGTGGGTGAGTTGGTGGGTAGGTGAGTTGGTGGGTGGGTGAGTTGGTGGGTGGGTGAGTTGGTGAGTTGGTGGGTGGGTGAGTTGGTGAGTTGGTGGGTGGGTGAGTTGGTGGGTGGGTGAGTTGGTGAGTTGGTGGGTGGGTGAGTTGGTGATGGGTGGGCCCTCACTTGGTCTCCAGCAGGATGTCCGAGTTGGTGGGGTTGAGCACCGACTTGCAGATGAGCTCCTGCGTGACGGCGATGGCCGTGTGGTTGGAGACACACAGGTCGGCCAGGTACTCCAGGAACCTGCAGGGCGAATGCAGCGACCCTCGTTAACCGCCGTGAACCAGTCACCGGGAACGAACCCGCACCGCCTTCGCCAGCGGCGTAGTGAGTGAGCGAGCGTGCGCAGGCGGTGCAACTGCACCTGGGGAGCCCATGGGCCACCCGGGGCCAGGCACCGGGCCACGAAGAGGGGGGGGGACACATGGATAGGGGGAGGCCTCATTTTTGTTCCTCGCCACCAGGGACCAGGCCAACCGCGCTACGCCACCGATCACAGAGTGGGTGGGGTGGGTGGGTGGGTGGGGGGTGGTGGGGAGGGATGGGGGGAAGTGTGGGTGGGTGACAGAATGTATGAGTGGGTGATTGAATAGGCGAGTGAGTATGGAGACCAAACCAGCGACCTCTAAAGTCCAGTTTTGCTGACCATTACATCATGGAAGTATGCGGGTTACATTCAGACACCATGTATATGTGGGGAGCAGCAGCCCAGTGTTTGTGCGCTGCACTACGGACCCGGCCACCCGAGTTCGGTCCCTGCTCATCACCACAAAACACCCGTGACGATTATCTAAACCCATTCGGCGCCTCCCCTCGCTCGACTCGGCCTCAAATGAATACCCGACGAGATGCGTAAACATCGCCCACCGGGGGGGGGGGGGGGGGGGGGGGGAGACAAAGGCGGCCAATCACTGGCCACCCCCCGCCTCGTGCTCCGTGCCGGCCTGCACGGCCGCCGCTGGCCGACAGCGCTCGCCCCGGCGGTCCGTTCAGGCCACACGGGACGGGGGACCTTTGTGTCTTTGTCGTCGCGGCCGCGGCCGGCACCTGGGCTCGCGGTTCTTGCGCAGGAGGCTCACGAAGGTGTCCACCTCCACGGCCGTGATGTGCTTCTCGAGCAGCTTGCGGTTGTTGTGCAGCAGCGCGGTGATGGTGTCCTCCGCCAGCACGTCGTAGCCAATCTGCTTCTGCATGAAGCCGAACTGCTTGGCGATGTACTCCTGTGGGGAGGGGGGGTGGCGGTGGTGGGGGGGGGGGCACATGGTGAGGATGGCTTGGTGATTGGAAGCTCCCTTTCCTGTGCAGTGAGTGTAAATATTACCATTGGCTTGTCTTGTAGCATGTACTGTGAGTATAATCATTGTAACTAAGCTCTTGTAGTATGTACTGTAGTATAATCATTGTCACTAAGCTCTTGTAGTATGTACTGTAGTATGTACTGTGAGTATAATCATTGTCACTAAGCTCTTGTAGCATGTACTGTGAGTATAATCATTGTCACTAAGCTCTTGCAGGATGTACTGTGAGTATAATCATTGTCACTAAGCTCTTGCAGTATGTACTGTAGTATAATCATTGTCACTAAGCTCTTGCAGTATGTACTGTGAGTATAATCATTGTCACTAAGATGATTGGCTTTTAATTGCCGTTTGCGTTTTACCCATAACAAGAATGTAGTTGTCCGCATGTTGTACTGTGCGCAGCAATAATAGCAGCAATAACAAATATAATACAGTAAAACCTTGGATTGCGAGTAACTTGGCCTGCGAGTGTTTTTGCAAGACGAGCAAACATTTTAACTAAATATTAATTTGATAAACGAGCGAGGTCTTGCAATAGGAGCAGTACGTATACAAGCTTTGTGCTGCCGAGCGTCACGTGATCACAACTGACATACGAGTGCTTTGGATTACAAACACGTTTCCGGAACGAATTATGCTCGCAATCCAAGGTTTTACTGTATTCGTTATTCTATCACGGCACTGGCTGAGAGAGGAGAGGCGTTTGGCCACCTGGTTCTTGCGGTAGTCCTGCTGCGAGTGGCGCAGCACGCGGTAACACAGCTGGCAGATGTACTTGTAGGGCGCATGCTTCTGGTCGGAGAGCTCCTCCAGCCGCAGCAGCGACTCTCGCCCGTTCCCCGAGAAGGGAGCCTGCAGCAGCCGGAAGATCTGCGCGCCAAAATAAAAATAAGAACTAAAAAAACCAACACGGAACGCAACCTCAACGGTGAAAATCTTAATGGGAATCTGTACAGGGACTCCTCTACTTATGAACACATTCGACTTACGGACTTTCAGAGATACGAACAAACCTGCCCGTATGTCCAGTGGCCTGTTCGGACCGAGAGTCGTAAGTTCAACCGCCACGCAATAGATGGCGGTGGTGGCATCTCTACATCTGCAGAACGTGAAGAACCAGTGGCATCTACATCTGCAGAACGTGAAGAACCAGTGGCATCTACATCTGCAGAACGTGAAGAACCAGTGGCATCTACATCTGCAGAACGTGAAGAACCAGTGGCATCTACATCTGCAGAACGTGAAGAACCAGTGGCATCTACATCTGCAGAACGTGAAGAACCAGTGGCATCTACATCTGTAGAACGTGAAGAACCAGTGGCATCTACATCTGCAGAACGTGAAGAACCAGTGGCATCAATATCTGCAGAATGTGAACAACCAGTGGCATCTACATCTGCAGAATGTGAAGAACCAGTGGCATCTACATCTGCAGAACGTGAAGAACCAGTGGCATCTACATCTGCAGAACATGAAGAACCAGTGGCATCTACAGCTGTAGCACGTGAAGAACCAGTGGCATCTACATCTGCAGAAAGTGAAGAACCAGTGGCATCTACATCTGCAGAATGTGAAGAACCAGTGGCATCTACATCTGCAGAACGTGAAGAACCAGTGGCATCTACATCTACAGAACGTGAAAAACCAGTGGCATCTACAGCTGTAGAACGTGAAGAACCAGTGGCATCTACATCTGCAGAACGTGAAGAACCAGTGGCATCTACATCTGCAGAACGTGAAGAACCAGTGGCATCTACATCTACAGAACGTGAAGAACCAGTGGCATCTACATCTACAGAACGTGAAGAACCAGTGGCATCTACATCTGCAGAACGTGAAGAACCAGTGGCATCTACATCTGCAGAACGTGAAGAACCAGTGGCATCTACATCTGCAGAACGTGAAGAACCAGTGGCATCTACATCTGCAGAACGTGAAGAACCAGTGGCATCTACATCTGCAGAACGTGAAGAACCAGTGGCATCTACATCTGCAGAACGTGAAGAACCAGTGGCATCTACATCTGCAGAACGTGAAGAACCAGTGGCATCTACATCTGTAGAACGTGAAGAACCAGTGGCATCTACATCTGCAGAACGTGAAGAACCAGTGGCATCAATATCTGCAGAATGTGAACAACCAGTGGCATCTACATCTGCAGAATGTGAAGAACCAGTGGCATCTACATCTGCAGAACGTGAAGAACCAGTGGCATCTACATCTGCAGAACGTGAAGGACCAGTGGCATCTACAGCTGTAGAACGTGAAGAACCAGTGGCATCTACATCTGCAGAACGTGAAGAACCAGTGGCATCTACATCTGCAGAATGTGAAGAACCAGTGGCATCTACATCTGCAGAACGTGAAGAACCAGTGGCATCTACATTTACAGAACGTGAAGAACCAGTGGCATCTACAGCTGTAGAACGTGAAGAACCAGTGGCATCTACATCTGCAGAACGTGAAGAACCAGTGGCATCTACATCTGCAGAACGTGAAGAACCAGTGGCATCTACATCTACAGAACGTGAAGAACCAGTGGCATCTACATCTACATGCCGTCCAACACGTTTGAAATCGATAGGAGTAAAGTTGAACTTACGAACAGACCTCTGGAACCTAACTCGTTTGTAAGTCGAGGAGTCCCTGTACATAGACTGGATGAGGAATCCAATGAGCTATGAAGCTCTTTTCACAAATGTCCAATATGGGCAGGCTAGCTAGTTACAGAGGAGGGCCCACATGGCATGGGTGGGCAGAGATGCGGGTGAAGTGGATGATGTGTGGGTGGGTGTGTGAGTGGGTGGCCGAGGGGAGTGAGCGTGCGTGCGCGTGGACGATTGTTCAATCTGTCCGTGAACAAGTGAATGAGCACGTGAGTAAACGGGTGAGTAAGGAAATGAGCGTGTCGATGAGTGTGCGGGCGCGTGGGTAAATTAACAGGTGAGCGAGTAAGCGGAGCGAGCACGCGAGTAAACGGGTGAGTAAGGAAATGAGCGTGTCGATGAGTGTGCGGGCGCGCGGGTAAATTAACAGGTGAGCGAGTAAGCGGAGCGAGCACGCGAGTAAACGCGCAGGTTTAGCGAGCGCGCGTACGCGAGCAGACGGGCGTGACGTGGCGGTTGGCAGAGTGGTAATTTGCGAGCAGGCGAACGATCCGCACGTCACGACAGCGACAACAACGGCGAGGTAGGGGGGCGACGCACCTGCTTGAGGATGTTCTGCTCACGCGTCAGCTTCTGCCGCTCGCGATTGGGCTTGGAGATGGCCACCTTGAGGGGCTCCTGCCCGTTGTTGGGGATGTCGGCGATGAAGAAGATCAGGTCCTCCAACAGCTTCGTGACGAACCTGGCGGAGGGGCGGTCACCAAGCCGCCGCGTACCCCGGCACGGAATCCGTCGGTCAACGAACCGCAGCGTCGGCACGAGCCCTCACGGGGGCAGCCGCCAATCACCTCTCCTGCCCCGCCCACCTTTCTCACAAGCCCCGCCCACCAACAATAACGATGATGACGATGACGAGAATCTCCCAATGCCGCGCCATCCGCGGGAGGCGCACTTCGATCGCGGCGTCTTCAGCCAACTAGCGACGGGTTGTCCGCACGTTGCGGGAGGAGACGGCCGGAGCACCCGGACAACATCCCCCACGCGTGTGCCAGCGGCGCCTTCCGCGACGCGCGACGCTCGCGCGGCCCACCCGGCCCTCGCTCGCACGGCCCACCCGGCCCACCCGGCCCTCGCTCGCGCGGCCCACCCGGCCCACCCGGCCCACCCGGCTCTCGCTCGCGCGGCCCACCCGGCCCACCCGGCCCTCGCTCGCACGGCCCACCCGGCCCACCCGGCCCACCCGGCCCACCCGGCCCACCCGGCCCTCCCGGCCCACCCGGCTCTCGCTCGCGCGGCCCACCCGGCCCACCCGGCCCTCGCTCGCGCGGCCCACCCGGCCCACCCGGCCCACCCGGCCCACCCGGCCCACCCGGCCCTCGCTCCCGCCGCCCCCGCGGGGCCGGCGGATTTCGGAGCGGTCCCCGCCGGCCGTCGCGCGACCCCAGCCCTCCGGCCCCCCGCCCAGCCCCCACCACCCCCCAAACCGTGCTCACTTGCGCTCGTTGTGCGAGAGGTCGGCCTTCTCCATGCTGTCGGAGACGAGCGCGAGCACCTTGCACGCGTCGTTGGCGAAGTCGAGGTCGCGCACCTCCGCGGGCGACACGGGCACGATGGCGAACGCCTCCTTGTCCTCCTTGAGCGGCGACGTGCCGATCTTGAGCATGACGGGGCGCTCCTCGGACGCGTCGATGGGGATGAACGTGCTGTGCACCCACGTGTTGGTGCACAGGTGGCGCAGGCGCACAAACGAGTTGCTGCGGGACAGCGACGGAGAGGAGGGAGGGAGGGAGGGAGGGGGAGGAGTTACCCGCTGCGTGGACGTGCGTACGCGTCGAGCCCTCTGGGTGGACCGGCTGCGGTCGCCTGCGGGGGGTTGTGCGCGTAAACGCTGAGCGTGCGGCGTGCCCTCGAAGCTAAGCAGGTTTGAGCCTGGACAGTGCCGGGAACGGGCATCCACCCTGCACGCGACAGGTGCTATGGGCTGCTGCCGGGCTACGTGGTTCGCAGCAGCAGCAGCAGCGTTCAACCTACGCACAGACTTCTTAGAGACAAAAGGCCACCACCTCTTTATTCAAGGCCCCACCCTCTCTCGCTTGGCTTTCGAGCGACGGAAATTTTGGCTCGGCGCCTCAGAGTCACGCTCATTCATATCCGCAAAACGCCGCGTGCATTGCAAATTGCATCATAGTAATTATCGTCGTGATTGTTGTTGTTGTTTGCTGCTGTCATCGTCTGCGCGGCTTGGGTTGCCACGGTGGCAAGATGTTAATTACCTCACCTGGTATACAGGAGGTCGTGGGTGCAATGCCGACCTTGATGCCTGTATGTTTGGAGTTTGCGTGTCTCTCTCCCCGCGGTCACGTGGATTTTTCTCCAGGTCCTCCGGTTTTTCCCTCCACATTAATAAACACGCGTCTAGAGTATTTGGCCGCTATACGTCTCCACATTGATGAGCCACTTTATTGAGCTATCATTTGCGGCCAGGTCGCTTCTGAAAAGTCAGCTACATAGCCCCCGTGGAGCCTCACCTAGTAAAATAAAAAAAATGTTTTTGTTAACAGCTTTTAGTTTGTTGACCTCCGTTATAATGCGGGCGTCGCCCCTCACCGTGGCACAAGTGAGTCCCCGCGCTGCAGCGTCGTGGGATCCAGCTCGAAGATGGAGGCGATGTCGTCGCCATGCGGCACCGAGATGAGCGTGAAGTGGATGTTCTCCTGGCGCCGGCGGGCGCGCGTTCGCGGGCCCTCCGGTGGAAACTCCGTCTCCACCTGCACGGCGAGGACCGACCAGCCAGGTTGCACGTCTGTGTGTGTAGCGGTGGGGAGCGGTGGTGCAGCGGTTAGCACTACGCTGAGCTACGAACCTGGCGAACCAGGTTCGATTCCCACTCACGGCCAACACCGGTGACGATTATCTGAACCGGTCCCGGGCCTCCCCTCGGTCGACTCAGTCGACCACTCTGCCAACAAGAGTAACGTTTGTGGTATGGCCCCCAAAACCTGCGTGGTTCATTCTCAGAGCTGGAATTTAGCCAAACCAAATTTGGCTTGATGGTTTCTCTCCCTCAGTTGCGCTGCTTCCAGTGCAGCTAATAAATGAGAGCTTTTATCCTATCAGATTTTCCACCTGCGCTGTCCCCGCCTCTCCGGGTGAAAAATCTACCCTGAGGCCTTCAGAATGTTGAGTGAATCCCCTCTGCTGTTGAAGCAAATTGGGACGATGTAGTTGATTGTCATTTTCTTTAACCAATCAGATGTCGAGTTTGCCATGGTGGGCGTGTCCTTTGACACGCCGGAGCCTTCTAGCTGGCCTAGCTGCCTACGTCAGCCTTGTTCGTGTGGCGTGATCGGAGGGCCAGTTAGCTAACTGAAGTAAAACTCGCTAGCACGTAACGTAGCATCATCTAAGATTTATTTAAACTTTCTTTCCTGACGTTTATATTTTTAGATGTAGTGCTTTATATTTTTTTTTCTGTGGAGAAGCCTGTTGAATCCTGATTGTGTTATTTGCGTTTTTGCTTGCTTGGTGGTCGAATGAGTCAATGCAACTGGTTGTTGTGAGTTTGTTCGTGTTTCTTTGGTAATGACATTGATTTGGGCTATGTGATGTCTATTTGTGATGCAGCATCCTGTCATACTACGCAATAGTGGTACATCCTTGATGGTTTCAGTCACCGTGTATTCATGTCTCTGCAATTAGTGCATTGTAACTTTCATAGGTGTTGAGCCTCGTGTTAAATCACTTTATTCCACTCGATAAAGGTCACTGTCACTGTGTATATGGGGTGGTTACGTCGAATGACAACAGCCGAGAGCCCTCGTGTCACGGTGAGGTTATTCAAGGCGGTTTAATTGCGGGAGGATCGCACTGAAGGCCTAGGTGTAAAATACCCGGCCCGCCACTGCCAGGCAGAGACCATTAACTCACTGCGCTTGAGAACACGGTTTAATCACAGACAGCGGCCGGAAACCGGATTGGAACCGAACAGTGCCAGCTCAGCGCTCTGACCCCTGACCCCCAAGCCACTCGGCCCGCCTCTGCAACGCGTGACCTGGCGGCCTTCGCGAGCGAGTGAGTGCGTTGCAGCGGTCTTCATCGTTCTCGCCTCCACCTCCTCCGTCCGGCACATCGTTGCCAACGGTCGCGGCCGCGTACAATTCGGTACTCACGGGGGTTTGCGGGGAAGCCACACTCCCTGCATCCTGGTAATCGGGGTTTATCTAGGACAATATAAAACATATTAAAATAAACTCATTAGCGCTTCATTCACAACCAAGCGATAATGACAACGATGACGGCCTTTATTTACAACAAAGAATGCACACTCAGCCGCGTGCGTTAAGGCGCACGAATGCGCACGTACCCACACCCATTTTGCATAGCCCCGCCCACTACTCCGGTAGCCCCGCCCAATTATGGGTAGCCCCACCCACGACTCAGGTAGCCCCGCCCTCTGCCCACATCGTGAGTCGAGATTGACCCTTAACCGGATTGGCATCACGGAAGATGCCGATACCTCGTGCACGACTCTCCAACACCAAACCGCGGACCGTATCACTTCGCACTGCCCCAACCGAACGCTGTATAGAGTTGAAGGCGGCGAATCCGACGTTTTCGCCAAATCTCAGACAAAGCAACGCGATGTCTAAGTCACCTGCAACGGAATCTCTCAAACAGCTGCTGCTCTTCACTGGCCGTGCGAAACCATCGCGAGTCGAGCGCCAGGCCAGAAACGTGTTCACAAACAGGGGGGGGGGAGGGGGGGGGTGACGTCGTGGCCACGCCGGGGACGCTCGGTGGGCCGAGCAGAGCTCACCTCTGCCGCGAGGTACTTCTCCGTAGCCAGGTGCTTGAAGCGGAAGAGCGTGTTCCAGTGTCCGGCGCCACCACGGCACGGGCAGTGCTGCACCACCTGATGGCGACAGCGACGGCAATGGCGTCAGCGGTCGCGGCGGTGGGCTGGGGGGTTTCTTACTCGTGTCTCCTCGTGTCTCCTAGAGTCTAATCGTGTCTCATCGTGTCTCATCGTGTCTCATCGTGTCTCCTCGTGTCTCATAGAGTCTAATCGTGTCTCATCGTGTCTCCTCGTGTCTCATCGTGTCTCCTCGCGTCTCCTCGCGTCTCCTCGCGTCTCATCGCGTCTCATCGCGTCTCCTCGCGTCTCATCGCGTCTCATCGCGTCTCATCGTGTCTCATCGTGTCTCCTCGTGTCTCATCGTGTCTCATCGTGTCTCATCGTGTCTCCTCGCGTCTCATCGCGTCTCATCGTGTCTCATCGTGTCTCATCGTGTCTCATCGCGTCTCATCGTGTCTCATCGTGTCTCATCGTGTCTCCTCGTGTCTCCCCGCGTCGCCGGGCAGAAACGCAACAAATCAGACCAGCGACAGCTTGGGGAGGCCTTCATCCAGCAGTGGATTGATCATGGCAAGTGATGATAATAAAGTCAGAGTGATGTTCTGCTCAAATGAGCACCAATGAGGCATTGGTGCTCAACCTCCTGTCTGCAGGCCTGAGACAGTGGTGCAAATTCCACATTCTTATAGTGGGGGCATGTCTCTCCATAGGACAACACCTTCCCACAAAGTGGCAGCTTAAAACCCAGAGGGATGATGGGGCGAGTCAACACCCGACCAGGATTTGAACTCGCAACCTTCCGATTGCGAGCAGCTTGCTGGGTACATACACATGCATGTTTGTTTAACTTCTTTCCCACCGTACGTCGGCAACCGTGCCAATCGGAGGTAGCACCGAGCGGATGACGAAGGCTACACGTGAACGACGCTCCACCGAATCGAGCGCCCTGGAAAGCAAAACGCGTTCGAACGCCAGGCGAGCGGCAGACACTCCCACGTTGACGCCTTCGCTCGGGGCGCACGCACCTCGACTTCCCAGAGCGCCTTGGGGCTGGTGGCGGAGGTGGCGGACTCGCGGAGTGTCGTGCGCAGGAACACGTACTCCTTCTTCTCCTTGTAGACGTCGCACGTCAGGAACTTCTCCTGCTCCGCGTGGAAGAGACGCACGACGTCCCCCTGCGGAGCAAACGTCGGCATGGTCAGGAACGTCCGCATCGTTCATTTAACACGTGGGCTTTCGCGACCGATATTATTCACGATGAGGTGTTTTTTTTTTTTAGGTCGGAGATCGCGGGAAGTATGTCGTATGTCCACATCCGCCTGATACGTCCAATTAGTAATGTATGTGAATGCAATCACCCTCCTGGGTGCTTCTTTGCACTTGAAGGCGCACAGTGATGACATCGCCTCATGCTCGATTTAATACCGGAAACCAGAAGACTTCATCACAAATTCTGGCAGTCGCCTGATGATGCTGGTTGTTGTAATCGCCAGCGAAACGTCGTTAACTCAAATTGGAAATGTTGTTGTGGGTTTGCTCTCCAACATGGTGCTGTAGTACAAACTAATTGGCACGTTCTGATCACATGACAAACCTTACTAAGTGGCTGTGTCACGCGGCGGTGGCTGCACGACACATTTACGAGATCTAACCCGCATCTCCGATTAGCATGGTTGGCTACGTACAGGGCAAAATAAGTTTAACATACAGTAAAACCTCGTTATTTCAGTATCTGATCATTATTAATTGGGGATAATTCGACATGGCTGAGCTTTGGCATCTATAAGGCGTATTAGTAATTCGCCACAAGCCGAATGGTCCAATTTCAGCATAGCACGTGGGGCGACGTCACACACCACAACCAAAACAACGACTCGGTCTAGTGGCGGCGAGCATGGTGAGCGTGGCGAGCGCGGTGAGCGTGGCGAGCGCGGCGAGTGTGGCGAGTGTGGTGAGTGTGGCGAGTGTGGTGAGTGGCGAGTGTGGTGAGTGTGGCGAGTGTGGTGAGTGTGGTGAGGGTGGCGAGTGTGGTGAGTGTGGTGAGTGTGGTGAGCGCGGCGAGCGTGGCGAGGGTGGCGAGTGTTAGTGCCGACCCGTCGTTTTGGACTTTCCCTTGTGTGTGTGCACTGTTAACGCCAACCCTCTCAGAAATGCTGTCTCCACCTCCATCAAGAAGTAACAGAAAGGGACTGAAGTATAAAACCCTGGGTCTGTGAGACAAATACAAAATTTTGGATATAATTGATGCAGGGTGTGTGTCAATGCGTATGGGGTGTGAAAAGATTGGCAAACTAATTTGGATTATTTTTCTAATTGTGGCAGGAGGCACTGGGGAGTACCATTGTACATCATTTGGAATATTGGATAATTCGGCAAGGCCACAGCCCCATATGTGTCGAATTAACAAGACACATCGTCGATATCATCATCGTGAACGTTAACATCACGGTCGGCATCGGGATAATCATGACCAACACCAGGTCATGTTTAGACGGTGGCGCCTCCTCCAGCGCAGTACATCGCATGCAGACACAGGGGGCACTCGAGCCCAGGGGGGCAAGGTGACTGCAGCACCGGCCTGCAATTGGGCGTAACACACCCACCACGATCGTCAACATGACAGCAGCAGCAGCACTATGACCACCACCAAAGAGACTGTTGGGGAAAGTGCTGTTAACGAGCACCTATGAAGGCTGGTAATGGCACACGAGGGGTGGGTGGCCAGCACCACACCCGACGCGCCTTTGTCTCCCCAGTGGCGATGTTTACGCACCACACCGGATACTCATTTGAGGCTGAGTCGACCTAAGGGAGGCCCAGAACCGGTTCAGATAATCGTCACCGGTGTTGGCTGTTAGCGGGAATCGAACTTGGGCCGCATGGCTCATAGTACAGCACGCTAACCACTACATCACCATCATCAACATCACCATCATCAACATCACAATCATCACCATCATCATCACCATCATCACTATTATGCCCTCTGTCTGGAAACTGGCCAAGTGCCCTCTTGATGGACGGACGTAAAATTCCCCGGGCAATGCGGTAGGTAAGCAGCTCGACGGCTCACTTTAATAACGGACGAACGAGTGAGTAAATTCATGGTTTCACGAGTAAGTGAAGTAAGTGATTTAGTAAATGAATGAGTGAATTAATGATTGCGTGAAATTTATTAACGAGTGAATGAACGAGTACGTGAATGAGTGCATGAATGAGTGCAGGAACACAAACCCCTTTGAGGATGTCCTCCTGGTTGTCGCTGTACTTCATGAAGAGCGTGATCTTCCAGCTCGTGTCACACTGCACCGAATTCACCTGCGCAACACGCACCGCAAACGGACGTAACGGATCTGGAAACGACGATTCCGACCGCCAACTTTAGCCTGATCGCGTCTCACCGGTGCCGTGTCAAGAGGCAAAAGTGCCCGTTCGGATCTCCCGTACGGCAGGGCGATCCTTAGCGTCGGAGAACGACCCACGGAAGCGGCTACCAGAGAGCTACCTCTGAAGATCCCTTCAAGCGACTTCTAATCCACGCAGTAGGCGGTAGCCCGCTCCCACCTGACCCACTTGCTCAAAGAGTCATTCTCATTGCACGAAATCAAACTGATGTTCGTTACTCTCGGAGCGCAGAACTCAATTGAATGTGATGCGTTGTTTTGTGCGGTCATCGGTGACCGGGCTGAGACCATCGACCCACTTGCACCTGGGAACCCAGTGTGAGCACAACATAGTCTTGTGATTCTCTGGGTCTCTACGCGAGTCTGTGGGTCTCTACGCGAGTCTATGGGTCTCTATGAGTCTATGGGTCTCTATGCGAGTCTATGGGTCTCTACGCAAGTCTATGGGTCTCTGTGAGTCTATGGGTCTCTGTGAGTCTGTGGGTCTCTACGCAAGTCTATGGGTCTCTACGCGAGTCTATGGGTCTCTACCCGAGTCTATGGGTCTCTATGCGAGTCTGTGGGTCTCTATGCGAGTCTATGGGTCTCTATGCGAGTCTATGGGTCTCTACGCGAGTCTATGGGTCTCTAAGCTAGTCTATGGGTCTCTAAGCGAGTCTATGGGTCTCTGTGAGTCTATGGGTCTCTGTGAGTCTATGGGTCTCTGTGAGTCTATGGGTCTCTGTGAGTCTATGGGTCTCTACGCGAGTCTGTGGGTCTCTACACGAGTCTATGGGTCTCTACGCGAGTCTATGGGTCTCTACGCGAGTCTGTGGATCTCTACGCTAGTCTATGGGTTCTCTGAGTCTATGGGTCTCTGTGAGTCTATGGGTCTCTGTGAGTCTATGGGTCTCTGTGAGTCTTTGGGTCTCTACGCGAGTCTATGGGTCTCTGTGAGTCTTTGGGTCTCTACGCGAGTCTATGGGTCTCTACGCGAGTCTGTGGGTCTCTACACGAGTCTATGGGTCTCTACGCGAGTCTGTGGGTGTCTATGCGAGTCTGTGGGTCTCTACGCGAGTCTGTGGGTCTCTATGCGAGTCTGTGGGTCTCTACGCGAGTCTGTGGGTCTCTACGAGTCTATGGGTCTCTAAGCTAGTCTATAGGTCTCTACGCGAGTCTGTGGGTCTCTACGTGAGTCTGTGGGTCTCTGTGAGTCTATGGGTCTCTGTGAGTCTATGGGTCTCTGAGTCTATGGGTGTCTGTGAGTCTATGGGTCTCTACGCGAGTCTGTGGGTCTCTGTGAGTCTGTGGGTCTCTAAGCTAGTCTATGGGTCTCTGTGAGTCTATGGGTCTCTGTGAGTCTATGGGTCTCTGAGTCTATGGGTGTCTGTGAGTCTATGGGTCTCTACGCGAGTCTGTGGGTCTCTGTGAGTCTGTGGGTCTCTAAGCTAGTCTATGGGTCTCTAAGCTAGTCTATGGGTCTCTACGTGAGTCTGTCAGTCTCTAACCAAGCCGCTGGTGACGGGGCCCAGGTTTGCGCACAGCTGGCCGAATCCCGGGTTAGAACCCAGGATCTCAGCAGTGCCGGGTGACTGCTCCAACGCCCGAGCCACCCGGCGACTTCAACAACGCAACAATTGACTCCGCGTCGTGCGTCCGCCCTCCTCCTGGCTGCGATTGCCATGCCGAGGCGTGGATTCGGGCTGGCTGTGTTTGTTTGACGTTCCGAGCGAGCGCGCACCTCGTTGCTGCCGGGATTGTCCACGAGCTCGAAAGTGCTCGCGTGCAGCGGCTGCCCGGCGTTCACAGGGTTCAGCACCACCTTGTCTCCCACAACCACCTGGGGCGGCACAGCCGGTCACAACCGGGCACAACCGGTCACAACCGGGCACAACCGGTCACAATCGGACATGGACTTACACGACCAGGCACAACCAGGCCACAAGTGGACACAAGCGGGTACAGCCGGGACATAACCGGGCCCGGACGAACACAACCAGCCACAACTGCACGGACGCAACCGGGCAGGGACGGGCGCACGGCGAGACGACGACACTCAAGACGAGGGACGTCCAGGCTTTGACGCTGGGCGAGACGTTGCCTGCCGCTCGCGCTGCATCCCCCGCGTGCGCGCGGCCCGCCCGTGCCGCGGACTCACGTTGTCGCCGGGCACGCGCAGCTTGTAGAAGGGCTGGATGTAGAACCACGAGCCCTCATTGCCGGAGGGGTCCAGCATCACACGCATCGCCTTCTTCTCCAGCAGCGCCGGCAGACGCTTGTTCACCGTCATGTATTTGTTGCTCTTCATGTGCAGCAGCTGGCGCACGCGCAAAGACCCCCCAACCCCCGTACAGTCTTGAACAAGAAGCTGGGGCGAGTGCTATTGTCCGTCCCCCCACGCACCGCCGATTAGCACGGTTGGCTACGTACGGTGCGAAAGAAGTTCAACGTACGTACATGCATACGAGCAGCACCTAGGAAGGCCGGCACGGTACACAATGGGGTGGGTGGCCAGAACCACACCCGGCCACTTTTGCCCCTCTTGGTGGCGATGTTTACACATTGCACCCGGTGCTCATTTAAAGCCGAGTTGACCTCGGGGAGACCCGGGACCGGTTCAGAATATCGTCACGGGTGTTGGCTGCCGTGAGCGGAAGTTGAAGTCGGGTCGCCGGGTTTGCAGCGCAGCGCGCTAACCGCTTCGCTACCGCTCGACGGACGCATTCGCCACTAAGTGGCGGTGACGTCACCACGACGCTTGTGCCAGGCTACGTGCACGTTGAGGCCACGTGAAGTGTCGAACGCCTGCTGGCAGGAGGTCACGGGGTAGACCCAGGTGCCACGGGTCGACTGAGATGACTGGCTGATGCACCACCTGTGCCCCCTACTATGCCAACCTGCTGTGTTTTAGCCACCCGGAGCTCCGCTCGTTGTTGTGAGCGTCGCTCCTCCGCCCTCCGTTGTTGTTGGAGGGCGACTGCCTCCAACTGCCCAGTAGCATCCTTCACGAGCCTCCTCCACAGAGGCCGATCTTGACACCGCTGGTACCAGTCATCGGCAAGTCCACTTAGTGCGCAAACACCCGCACGCTCCAGTAATCCGTGTAATAAAAATAAGAAATGCGGCGCCGTTGCCAGATGGAAATCGTTCTCCCCTCTGGTACCCGATGAGTGTGGCTAAGACGTTGGCAGCGACCGATAAAAATCGTTCGCAGGCCGTTTCAGAGCGGCAGGCCTTGCGGTGGCCACGGTCCACGTGAGACCGTGTCTGGCTCGTAGATTCCCCACCGCTGGGTTAACGTAGAAATTTAAAAAAACTGCCCGTCAGTACATCCACTGCTGGATGAAGGCCTCCCCGCGCCGTTGTCGGCGCTGTGATGGTTAATTGGAAGTAAGCGAATCGCGGGACCGTGAGAGACGACGATGACTCAGGGAGGCCTTCATCCCGCAGCGGCTCGATCATGGCCGACGACAACGATGGCGACGATCACGCGGCAAGTACCTGAACCACGTTTCCGTACTGAACAACGTTCCCCAGCAGCTTTTTGTTCTCCGTGTCGTTTTGCTTCTTTTCAAGTTCCGCGGCGTGCTGCAACGAGACAAGAAACGTCACCGCCGCGCGTGAACTCGCGCGATCGCTCCGACAAAAAGAGGCCCGCCCGCGCTCGCCAGCGTTATCGTTCGCGATGACGACCACGACGATCGGCAGCGCTCGGTCGAGGTGGTGCACACGAAGGAACCGCTCCGGCCCGCAGGCCGTCCGTACCGTACGGGACACCGCGACGTTCGCTCCACGCGAGAGATGACGTCATCAGCAGCAGGAGCAGCGTGCGCAGTGGGCGCCACGGTGGCAAGATGTTAACGACCTCGCCTGGTATGCAGGAGGTCGTGGGTTCGATCCCTATCCTGACACCTGCTGCTGTATATTTGGAGTTTGCGTGTCTTTCTCTCCCAGTGGTCGTGTGGATTTTTCTCCGGGTCCTCCGGTTTTACCCTCCGCATTTAGAATCAAAGTGCGTTCAGAGGATTTGGCTGCTATAAATTTCCACACGATATCCCACTTTGTTGAGTTATCATTTGTGGCCAGGTGGGCAACCCTTTGATCAACATGGCCAATTTTTCATCGGGCAATTCCATAATAGCGACACGTCATTATACTAAAGTTACATCAATATTTCTAGCACCAACCCCCCAACCCCCTTAACGGACAAACAGACAGACGGACAGAGTTGATGCATCTTCGCGTCCAACCTCGAGATGAACAAATCGAATCGCGCCAAAGGCTTGAGAACTTCTGTGAGGAGGACTACGAGGGGTGAACGGCTCCCAATGGGGCTACGTTGGGAGCCGTTCACTCGTCAGGGAGTCGTGCAGAGGGACGAGAGCCGTGTCGGGTTTTTTTTGGGGGGCATTTGAGCCGGCTTTGCCCCCGGTCCTCCTGTGGAATTTTTAGTGCCACCGAATGTTTACACTGTGACCCTTGCATCACAAGAAAATAATTAAATCAAGGCCAAAGCTGAGTAGCGGGCTCGGAAGCACAACTTTAGCCAGACGCACGACGCGGCAAATATTTAACTCGGGGCGGTGCAAATGCTTTTCACCGCAGGCTGCAAAGTCGTCAGAAACGACCCCCCTCTCTCCCGTTTCTTTTGTCGTCCGTTTGTTAAAAGCCATTTTTAACCGGGTGTGAATGTGTGCTTGTGTGTGCGTGTGTGTAGGGAGTGGTAGTGTGACCCGAGTTCGATTCCCGTTCACGGCCAACACCAGCGACAGTTATCTGAACCGGTGCTGGGCCTCTCCTAGGTTGACTCAGCCTCCTCAAATGAGTACTTGGTGGGGTGTGTAAACATCGCTACTGGGGAGACAAAGGCGGCTGGGTGTGGTGCTGGCCACCCACCCCCTCGTGCAGCATGCCAGCCTTCACAGGTGCTTGCTAACCCCACCAGTCTGTTAAGGCTATACAGGGAGTCTTTGTGTATGTGTGTGCAGGGAGTCGTAGTGTAGGAGTTAGTGCGCTGTGCTACGAACTCGGTAACCCGAATTCAATTCCCGCTCACGGCTAACACCAGCAACGGTTATCTAAACCGGTCCTGGGCCTCCCCTAGGTCGACTCAGCCTCAAATAAGTATCTGGTGCAGTGTGTAAACATCAGTATCACAGGGAGGGAAAGGGGGCCGCCAGGTCCGGTTCTCGCCACACCACCCGCTCGTGTGCCGCGCCGACCTTAATAGGTGCTCGCCAACATCCCTGACAGTCCGTTTACAAGGCTATACGGGGGACCTTTGCATGCCCGAGTCCGTTCCTGTCACCTCCTGCTACGCGTGGTGGCATGCCGCAGGAGGGGACATGCCTAAGAGGACGTCGTCTACCATTCCACAGTTCCGTCCCACGTGTGCAGACCCACGCACGCGCTTCGCACGCACGTGCTACTTGCACGCGAGTAGCAGTGGCACGGCACGGCAGAAGGGAAACGACGCGCGTGCGACGGTTCTGACCGTGCGCATGCCGTCGGGTTAGTCAGCCGGGGGGGAGGAGGAGGAAGTGTGGGGAGGCCCGATAGCGCCGCGGTCAACGGCGTGGCTTCTGCTCAGAAGCATGCGCGCGTGGGTTCTAAAGCGTGCACACATGAGCGTGCACACATGAGCGTGTGTACATGAGCGTGTGTACGTGTGCGAGTGCGAGTGCGTGCGAGCGGTGAGCGTGCGTACACGATGAGTGCGTGCGTGCGCACGCGTGCCCGGGCATGCCGACTGCCCCCGTAGCTGCTAAATTACGCTTTATATTAATAATAAATCATTCTGACACGCAAACCGCATGAATGGCGTTACCCTCCCCCCCCCCCCCCAGCCTCGCCATTGCAATTGGCGCGACGGTGAGATTTTTTCACTTAGCCCCAATGGGGTCGAACGATCGATTTCATTCAGAAAATCTAAGCAACCTACGCCGACCCCTCCTGAAACTCTCGCAGGCTCCTAGCATTCACGAGCCCTGACGGGATCCCAAAGCTACTTCATTCTGTCGCAGCGCTACCGCTAAACCCGGCGGAATCCAACACTTGCCACGGCCTGACTCCAAGTCCAACTAAATAATAAATTATTTCTTTTTTTCAAAACCAATATCGGCGAGAGGAACGCATCCACGTATTGTAAGCGTGGGAGTACCCACACTTTACACCACCACACGCAAACCGCCACACCGATAACCGCGACGGTGAACCCATGTCCGGTACACTGCTGGGTGGACAGTGGTGGTGGTGGCTGGCGGTGGTGCCTGGTGGTGGTTGAGGCAGGGGATTTGAATAAACTCGGCCGGATTCTTTCAGCTGCCGCGCCGAGAGACCGGATCGAACCGGCGCCCCCGTACGCATTGCAAGTCCAGCAGCGTGCCGGCCATTTGCCCCGCCGCCGCCGCCGTGGGGAGGCTTTACTCTCCAACCCACCGGCGTGCTGAGCTTGTAGCTAATTGGCACGTCTTTTGTTTACGTGACAAACCTCGCTAAATTGGATGTGTCGGGTGACGGCGTGTTTAATGACACACACATTTATATTGATGCAATCTCACCCAAAAAAAACCTCTATTATGGATAATATTGGTTGCAAAAGCCTACTCCTACGTGTTAAACTGCTGCCCAGAGATGGTATGGGTGGGTGGGGTTTTCTTTGAAGCTGCCGAGTTGGCAACAACTTGGACGGTGGGCGAAGCTAAGCCCGGGGCGAAGGTTTGTCGTCCTTCAGCTCAACAGTTATCTGTTGCATCTTCAACAGTGCTGTATGTCGCTGGCCGTTTGGCGTTCTGGGCCCCTTTTGTCGGGTATTTGAGGTGCCCAGCAACTGTGGTAAAAGTATTTTTACGATTCGCTTATGTGTTTTGAATTTGTTTGAGTAAAAAAACTAAAATAATGTTTAGAAAGGCTAAAGATGTGTCAATCCTTTAATTCTGAAAACGTTCCCGGTTACTGCTACACATCCGTTAACCCTAAGAATAATAATACTACTACTATGTGCCGTCTGCTCCACTCACAGTGGACGTTAAAGATCCCGTGATGTCATTATCAAAGAGTCGGCCGCAGTCTGCCACCGGTGTCCAAATTCGTCACATTCGAGAACGACACCGCAAATCACTCGAGCGAGATTCCACACACAAATACATACACACACATACACACACACATACACACACACACATACACACACATACATACACACACATACATACACACACATACACACACACACATACACACACACAAATACACACACACACATACACACACACATACACACACATACACACACACATACACACACATACACACAAACACACAAACACACACACACATACACACACACACACACAAACACACACACATACACACACACACAAACACACACACATACACACACACATACGCACACACATACACATACACACACAAACACACACACACACAGACACAAACACACACAAACACACACAAACACACATACAAACACACAAACACACATACAAACACACATACAAACACACATACAAACACACACACACACACACAAACACACACACACATACACACACACACACAAACACACACACACAAACACACACACACAAACACACATACAAACACACAAACACACACACAAACACACACACAAACACACATACAAACACATACAAACACACACACAGCAGCGGCGGCGGCAATCACTACCGGGCCCCCTACCGGCAGCAGACTCACTCCCTCCCCCCCCCAGGTAACTCTCCCGAATTCTCAGCTGCTTAAGCTTTATAAACGTGAAACTGGACGTGCAAGAGTGATTTCGTGGGATATCAGGTTTTTGTTTCCAGGACACCCTTGAGAATTCCTCGAATTTGCTCAGCAAATGGGAGGAGAGGTTGGCGGTGGTAAATCATTACCATGCCTCGGGTACAAAAATGTGCCCCCACCACCAAAGACAAAGATCCCCTGTATAGCCTTCACAGACTGTTGGGGTGAAGTGCTGTTAGCGAGCCTCAAATGAGTACCTGGTGCGGTGTGTAAACATCGCCACTGGGGAGACAAAGGCGGCCGGGTGTGGTGCCGGCCACCCACCCCCTCGTGTGCCGTGCCGGCCTTCATAGGTGCTCGCTCCCACCACCGCCGCCACCACAACAAACATGCCTGACGTATATAATTATAGAATTCGCTTGGTCATTCATCCAGACATGACGGCCAGCCAGCAGGGAGCGCTCTGACGTGAAGTCCGGTACCGTATGGGCTGCATCCCCGCTCCCCAGATAAGGTCAGAGTGAGCGGCTTCCCATTTGGAAAGTTCTAAGTTCACATCCTGATTGGGGGTTGACTCAGCCCATCATCCCTCCGGTCCTAGGGTTGGTAAAACGAGTGCCACTTTGAGCGGAGAAGTCAACAGCGGTTGTCCTACAGAGAGACTCGCCCCCCACCCCTGCCCCCGGCTCGAATGTGCCAGTGGAAAACCACCCAGACCTGGCACGGCTCAGATGCGCCGGTGGAAAATCACCCGGACCTGGCATGGCTCGGATGTGCCGGTGGAAAATCACCTGGACCTGGCACGGCTCGGATGTGCTGGTGGAAAACCACCCGCACCTGGCATGGCTCAAATGCGCTGATGGAAAATCACCTGGACCTGGCACAGCTAAGATGCGCCGGTGCAAAACCACCCGGACCTGACATGGCTCAGATGCGCCGATGGAAAACCACCCAGACCTGGCACGGCTCAGATGTGCTGGTGGAAAACCACCCGCACCTGGCATGGCTCAGATGCGCCGGTGGAAAACCATCCACATCTGGCATGGCACGGATGCGATGGTGGAAGAGAGGCAACTTCAGTGGCGGTGGAAGGGCGATCATGCGGATCACTCACGTGGAGCTTCTTGAGAAGAGCCGGGTCGGTGTTGGCCCCGGCCTTGGCCGCGTTCCAAAACTGCTTCTGCGCGGAGTAGCGATTCATCGGGCATATCTTGAAGAGGCAGTCTGAGGCGGGAGACCAGGGTGTAGCAACAGGGGGGGTGGAGGGACACAACCGCAAGATGGTGTTATCAACCGTAAGCCCGTAGCAGTGATACAAATAATAAAACATCTGTCTGGCCACGATTCAGTGAACGCACATCGGACCAGGTACTCAGTTTAAACTGAACCAGGCCTAGGAGGAGGCCGCAATGATAGCCGAGTCGAGATTCAGTACATAGGCTCTCTCGCGCGCACACACACACACACAGACCCTTGTACAGACTGCGGCGTTGGGGCAGGTGGTGTTCGCAAGTACCTACGAAGGCCAACACGAACGTTTATACACCGCAGCAGACAATGTAAGGTCTGGTTTAGATCGCACTCGCCACTCACGATAGCCACGATCAGCAAGCGAACTCAGGTCCCCGGGTTCATTGCGCAGTGTCTTAACCAACGCGGCAAAACGCACAGGACCCCCACACTCCTGTGTAGTCGATGCAGACCGCTGGATTGGGCAAATAATGTTACTGAGCACCGATTGAGGCCATGGCGTGGACAGCACAGCATCACCCCCAGGCAGCTACAGTGAGGGAAAAAAGTATTTGATCCCCTGCTGATTTTGTACGTTTGCCCACTGACAAAGAAATGATCAGTCTATAATTTTAATGGTAGGTTTATTTGAACAGTGAGAGACAGAATAACAACAAAATCCAGAAAAACGCATGTCAAAAATGTTATGAATTGATTTGCATTTTAATGAGGGAAATAAGTATTTGACCCCTCTGCAAAACATGACTTAGTACTTGGTGGCAAAACCCTTGTTGGCAATCACAGAGGTCAGACGTTTCTTGTAGTTGGCCACCACTCCTCTTTGCAGATCTTCTCCAAGTCATTAAAGTTTCGAGGCTGACGTTTGGCAACGCGAACCTTCAGCTCCCTCCACAGATTTTCTATGGGATTAAGGTCTGGAGACTGGTTAGGCCACTCCAGGACCTTAATGTGCTTCTTCTTGAGCCACTCCTTTGCTGCCTTGGCCGTGTGTTTTGGGTCATTGTCATGCTGGAATACCCATCCACGACCCATTTTCAATGCCCTGGCTGAGGGAAGGAGGTTCTCACCCAAGATTTGACGGTACATGGCCCCATCCATCGTCCCTTTGATGCGGTGAAGTTGTCCTGTCCCCTTAGCAGAAAAACACCCCCAAAGCATGTTTCCACCTCCATGTTTGACGGTGGGGATGGTGTTCTTGGGGTCATAGGCAGCATTCCTCCTCCTCCAAACACGGCGAGTTGAGTTGATGCCAAAGAGCTCCATTTTGGTCTCATCTGACCACAACACTTTCACCCAGTTGTCCTCTGAATCATTCAGATGTTCATTGGCAAACTTCAGACGGGCATGTATATGTGCTTTCTTGAGCAGGGGGACCTTGTGGGCGCTGCAGGATTTCAGTCCTTCACGGAGTAGTGTGTTACCAATTCTTTTCTTGGTGCCTATGGTCCCAGCTGCCTTGAGATCATTGACAAGATCCTCCCGTGTAGTTCTGGGCTGATTCCTCACCGTTCTCATGATCATTGCAACTCCACGAGGTGAGATCTTGCATGGAGCCCCAGGCCGAGGGAGATTGACAGTTCTTTTGTGTTTCTTCCATTTGCGAATAATCGCACCAACTGTTGTCATCTTCTCACCAAGCTGCTTGGCAATGGGTTTGTAACCCAATCCAGCCTTGTGTAGGTCTACAATCTTGTCTCTGACATCTTTGGAGAGCTCTTTGGTGTTGGCCATGGTGGAGAGTTTGGAATCTGATTGATTGATTGATTGCTTCTGTGGACAGGTGTCTTTTATACAGGTAACAAGCTGAAATTAGGAGCACTCCCTTTAAGAGTGTGCTCCTAATCTCAGCTCGTTACCTGTATAAAAGACACCTGGGAGCCAGAAATCTTTCTGATTGAGAGGGGGTCAAATACTTATTTCCCTCATTAAAATGCAAATCCATTTATAACATTTTTGACATGCGTTTTTCTGGATTTTCTTGTTATTCTGTCTCTCACTGTTCAAATAAACCTACCATTAAAATTATAGACCGATCATTGCTTTGTCAGTGGGCAAACGTACAAAATCAGCAGGGGAATAAATACTTTTTTCCCTCACTGTACATACACACAATGCCAGGTAAACATTTATGGAGGAGTCGAATCGCGATTGGGAAGGCCAGGCCCTGGACATACGTGACTCGCCACTCCTGTTAGCCGTGACCAGGAATCGAACTCAGGTCCCTGGGTTCAGAGTTCAGCGCCATAGCCACTTTGAGTGTCGCCGTTCGCACACATTAATCAGGGGACGGGGAAACCTTTTCCTTGCCAAAGGCCAAATAGGATCCTCAAACATCTTTTGGCGGAGCCACACATTAGCATAATCCCGCCGCCGGCGTTATCTCCGATGAAAACGCATAAAATAGTGGCAAGTCAACCCTTAAAGGAGAGGGCCTTGCGGTGACAGCAGTGCCTTGATTACGGCGCTAAAATTATAAACGCGGTGATGTTACCAGGTCGGCAGAAACCACCCCCCCACCCCCGCCCCCCACTAGAACCTGATCAGTGCGGCCAAGACGCAAGCAGTGACGAACAAGTGTCGTCTTGTGGGCCGTTGTTAATGGGCAGGACTCGCGTGGTTGTGGGCTGCCCCGTGGCCCCGTGATCCATGGGCTGCCCCTGTGGCCCCGTGATCCATGGGCTCCCCCGTGGCATCGTGATCCATGGGCTGCCCCGTGGCCCCGTGGTCCATGGGCTGCCCCGTGGCCTCGTGATCCATGGGTTGCCCCTGTGGCCTCGTGATCCATGGGCTGCCCCGTGGCCCCGTGGTCCATGGGCTGCCCCGTGGCCCCGTGGTCCATGGGCTGCCCCTGTGGCCTCGTGATCCATGGGCTGCCCCGTGGCCTCGTGATCCATGGGCTGCCCCGTGGCCCCGTGGTCCATGGGCTGCCCCCCCACCAACACGACGCTAAAGCACCGCGCGTTCCCCCAGCACCCTCGCTCGGAGATTGCTCCAAGCGTCGGGTGGCCAACGACGCCACCGCACGCCGCCGGAACACGCCGCACAGCCTTGCCGTTTGGGCCACGATGCTGCCTACAACACCGGGCTACCACACCCCCGCTTCCCCCCCCCCCCCCCCCAGAAAACCCAAGCACCGCAGCCCCACGTCTCCCTTCCCACGCACTCGTTACGGCCCCCTGTTCCCCAGCGTGCTCCTTCCGTGTCCTGACACAACCCATCGCAGGAAAACGAAACCACCCAAATGCTGTTTCTCAATCACGGAGCTGCTTGACGGAGCTGCTTGTTGTGGCCGCGCGTGCAAGCATGCGTGCCGTGCTTTTATGCAATTAAGCTCGCTTGCGTGCGTGCGTGCACACGCGTGCGTTCATGTTTTCCTTACGCAAACTTTTGCGCGCGTTCGCCTTTTCAGTTTTATCTTCGTACGAGTAAGTTTTTAATGTTTTAAATCTACGCATATTACTTGCCACGGCACACGCTGGTTCTGGGCAATGGACACTGTATGCATGTTGAACGTCTTTCCGGACGTGGGTTGCGCACGGAGCCAACCGTGCTAAACGGAGGTGCGTCGGAAGGACAACAGACTATACACAAAAAGCAGTTAGAAATACATTATTTTTCAACCTAAATGATTTAAAAGTGCATAGCTAAAGTGGCTTTCTAATATCGGAAGGAAAAGCGTTCCAGACGGCCGCAGAAGCGCATCTGAAAGCGCCGCGCGATGATGCGGTGGCCAGCAGCCAAACGCCGCTTGGAGGATGAGTAGAGTTTGCGTGATGGTTTAAGGACAGCGGCACGAGGAGGCGTCGAGAGAGATGCCATGCTTGGAATCGCACAAAGGGGCAAAAGGAAGAGCACAGGCCCACGTGAGGGGCACGTCACGCTGATCGTTGAGAAGAGGTGGCCTTGGGCAGGATACGTCGTGAGCAGGGCTGATAAGACACCCAATACACGAAGAACCCAGCAATCCAAGTTCAGTTAAGTTATGTTCCGTCTTTCGGAGGGATCTTTGTGTTTGTCTTTTGAGAGTGTGGGAGTGTATGTGTGTGTGTAAGTGTTTTCCAAGGTTCACATAAGTGGCGATTATCTAAACCGGTCCTGGCCATCCCCTAGGTCGACTCGGCCTTAAATGATGACTCGGTACGGTGTGTAAACATCAGCACTGGCGAGACAAAGGGTAGGCAGTGGCGTGGGATCTTTGTCTGTGCTGTGTATCAGCCAGTGTCTGTGTGTGTATTTCTTTGTCTGTAAGTGTTTAAAAAATGAAGGAGCTGCCACATTCCTCGGTGCGACTGAACTTCGCCGACGTTGGGCAAACGTTGAAGCAATGTCGGCATGTTTCAAGGCTTCTCACCAATGCCGTGTGGTACACAGGAACCAGCCTTCTCCCGTTAACATGAAATAAAACCAACATAGTCACGGCCAAGCTCATTAAAAAACATTTCTTTGGCCAGAGAAAGCATGGGAGAGCGTTAAAACAACACTGCCAGCATCCATCTTCAGAGCGTCGGCCTAAACAGAAACTGGATCTTTAAACATAATAACGAAACACTGGCGTGACACGCTCGCGATATTATTGAGAAAGGAGAGCATCCAGCCGACTCGAAGTCGCAAAAAGATAACACGATTCGTTTCTCGTTACGTAACGCTTACACGTCGTCGTGGGAGTTAGCAAATGTTGCTGGCGCCATGTTTGCACAAAGGAGTAGCTGCCCCAGACGGGAGACGTATTTACTTTTCAGGCGGGGAGTGTTCATTTTAGACAGAGTACTGCCGTCTTCGGCGAATCGCATCTCTCACAATTTCCCGAGGAACCACAGACGGGCTTGGAAGGGAGCCGGCGTCAGCAACTGTTGCCCGAGCTCCTGCAGGCCTCTATATATCGAGGTGTTTTCTGGCATTGACGAGCGCGACGTACGTATCGGAGGAAACCCGAGCACCCGCAGAAACCCCACGGGTGCGAGCGGCCAACGCTC